ACTCTCCAAAGACCCCAGGAAGCTAGAAGTTTAAACCTTAAATTCCAGACCCTGCCCTCAGCCAGTAAACAGGCTAAAGGTCACATTCTTTGTACAGGAAATGAGCTTTGTTACCCCACCCAGGAACCTGTGCCAATGCAAACCTCTGGGGCTATAGGAAACTGATTGGTCTATAAAGCATGGGCTTGGATGGTTTAAATTGATTGGTCTGTACTGCGCAGGCTCTGGATGCTATGAGATGATTGGTTTAAGATGTGCGGGCTTTGTTGTAATCCTATAAAAACTATCTCAATTCTGCCCTCACGGTCCTTAGTCCTCTGCCCCTGCGTGGCGCATGACTGTGGACCCCAGTGCACTGGAATATAAAAGACCTCATGCTTTTACATCAAGACCGCTTCTCCTGAGTGATTTGGGGGGGGGGACGCCTTTCCTGAGTGAGAGTGTAAAGGTCTACTCTCTACGGGTCTTTCAACACCTGTCGTCTCATCACTTGGGAGATGGAAGCAAGAAGATCCTCAGCTACTTGTGGATTCCCTCTCTTAGCTTGGCTTATTGCTAGTCAGCCTTTCTAAATTATCCCACCTACCTTTTGCCTCTGGGCTTTTTCCTTTTCTCATTTCTGTATATCTTATTTTAACTCTTATCCCATGGCTGGCTGGCCCCTGATGTCCTCTTCTTGCTCTGCCTTGCCTCTTCCCACTGATCCTTTCTTCTGTCTCACTATTGGCAGTTCAGCTCTTTATTAGACCATCAGGTGCTTCTTTGAGACAGGGTTCCTCTGTGACTTTGGAGCCTGTCCTGGAACTTGCTCTGTCGACCAGGTTGGCCTCAAACTCACAAAGATCCGCCTGCCTCTGCTTCCCAAGTTCTGGGACAAAAGGTGTGTACCACTAATCTTGGCTAAAATATATCTTTGTATAACCTTGAAAACATATCTAACTACCTTGACTATAAGTTTGATTGTTATAGATGGTTATTAACCTGTATTTCTTTATTGTTCTAAATAGCTTTTAAGAACTAAAAGTTTGCATTATACTTTAAGATCTCATTATGGATGGTTTTGAGCCACCATGTGGTTGCTGGGAACCAAACTCAGGACCTCTGGAGGAGCAGCCAGTGCTCTTAACTACTGAGCCATCTTTCTAGTCTCAAGGTACAATATCTTAGACAAGAAATAGAAACATAATACAAAAATAACTTTAAATTTGTATTAACATACAAAAAGTCCACATCAATGTAAAATATTTGAGACTGTTGGTTATTTAAAAGTAGACTCACTGGGTGGTGATGGCACATGATGCCTTTAATCCCATCACTTGGGAAGCAGAGGCAGGAGGAATTCAGTAAGTTCCAGGACAGCCAGGGATACACATGGAAACCCTGTTGAAAAACAAAACAAAACAAACAAAAAGGTAGACTCAACCCTTTTATTCCATCATTTTTATAGTATATTGCCCCCTTTTCCCTTCAGAAAGATATCCCTGAATTTAATCTCCTTTGTTCAGCTTTCTCCTTGACCATGTCCAATAACAACTTGTAACCAACCCATTTAAATGATGACAGATATCCATAACCCACCAAATGACCAAAAATCATCCATCCCATCTCTTGGGAATATGGGCATTGTGTTCTCTAGACTGGGGGCACTGGAATCTTTGAGGTACCTGAGATAATTGAGATAATGTTCAAATCCTGGGAGAGCTAGTTGTTGTCTAGTCTTGGCGCAATGGGAAATTGTGGGGCTTATCTGAAGTCTGGCTGGAGTAGTCTGTGAGGCTGGACCATCTCAGCCAGCAGCCTTGAAGCTGTTCTTGTAGAGCTCTGAGGAAACTGCAACAGAGGCACTGAGAGGCTGGACAACCTGGGCCACACATTTTCATTGGTGTCTGGTCCCCTGCTCTGAAAACACACACACTTTCAAAGTAACACACATATCTGCATTAACACAAGTATGGAATGTGTGGTGTGCACATGTCAGCTACAAAATGATTTCTGTTTTATGTTTGAGCAGGTAAAATATATGTCACCTCTCTTGTAGGTTTTTTTTTTTTTTTTAAAGGTTTATTCCTTATGTCTGTAGCCAGGATTTTCAGGGGTTCTCCCCTGATCTAAACTGTTCCTCTTTAGCCTTGAACAAATCCACAGCCTTTTGTTTTCAGTGGAAATAAAAGCATAACCTCTTCCTCAAAGCAATGCATTTTTAAATTTTAATTTTAAAAGGCATTTCTAAAGTATCTAGGTTGGTTTAATTCCACAATCCAATGTCTCTCAGCAGTTGCCATTCTCTGTTCATTAGAATTAGAAAAATTTAAAGTCAACTCAACACCATACAGGATCCAGACTCTATGTATTTCCCATCTTTATATGGCTTATCTTTTTTATATTTTATTCTCTTTTTGGGGGGGTGGGTTTCGGAGATAGGGTTTCTTTGGAGCCTGTCCTGAAACTTGCTCTGTAGACCAGGCTGGCCTTGAACTCACAGAGATCTGCCTGCCTCTGCCTCCAGAGAACTGGGATCAAAGATGTATACCACCACTGTCCAGTTATTTTATTCTCTCTTTAAATACTTTATTTACTAGGCAGTGGTGGTGCATGTCTTTAATCCCAGCACTTGGGAGGCAGAGGCAGGTGGGTGTCTATGAGTTCGAGGCCAGCCTGGTCTACAAAATGAGTTCCAGGATAGTTAGGACTATTATACAGGGAAACGCCCTCCCCCACCCCTCCCCCACCTTGGCCAAAAAAAAAAAAAAAGAAAAAGAAAAAGAAAAAAAGACTAACTCATTATTTATAAACTATTTTTTTCTATGACTGTCCGTACCTATTTTCTTTCTTTCTTCTTCTTTTTTAAACACAGGGTAATCTGGTTAGAAGTTTTTTCCATCTGGATCTGTCTTTACTGAACATCTGCTGTGTTCTCTGATGCTGTGAGACAAACTGCTATGTCAGCCACTAGTGTGGCTCAGCTTAGTGTGTCAGTAGTACTTGTGCGTTGTCTAGCAGATGGCTCCAGCCCACAGGCAGCAGCTGTACGTGGGCCTCTCTCTGCTCTCTCTGTGTGCCACTAAGCACAAGCCTCCCTGAGAGACTCCCTAGTTACATCTCTCTGGTTACTTCCTGTCTATTGGTTGCTTGCTCAACCTCTTGACCTATGGAATGTTTTTATTTAGTCCTGTTTACAACAATCTGAAAGCTCTTATATTAAAGGTGTGTGCTAGGACTGAGTCACAACTAGAAACAGGTTTTTCCAGTAAATAATGCCATCTTGGGGTTCTCAAAGTGATCAAATATCCTGCAATAGTAGGGCTACTTGTTCTGCATAGACAGAACCAGACTCTAGGCCAACTTTACCTAGAGCAGAATGCCTGTAAATACATCTCTATCTGACCTCTTAGTGACTGAGGCAGATCAGGCAAGGTCAGAAGGCCAGAAATTCAGCAGCACATGCTGAGCCAGAGGCCTTCATCTTGCTGGGACCTTTCTGCAGCCTGTCCTGGCTGGGCAAGGGGCTGGGCCCTTCAGTCACATGTGCTTTATCAAAGAGTTTCTATGCAGCCACAGCCTAAGCTTTACTGTGTACCTGGAATTGGACTGATTAAACTGAGTATGCCCTGAACATCTTTTCTCACGTTGTACTGTGTTTTATGTATGCTGACAGTGAACCACGTGGCATTAGACTTCTGAAGTCTCATCATCCAGGTTGATGAAGTCAATCTACCCAGGGTTTTCATTCTCATCTCTCTGAGGGGTTTGCTTCCCTGTTTGATACCTGCAGGGACACCCTCAGATAGCTGGGGCCATGGGGTGTCAAGGACATTCTGGTGATCTGTGACTGGTGCAGTGCCAGGAGGTGGGGAAGTGGTAGGCTCTTGCTAAGGAAGCTATGGGTTTGCATGGGGTGTAGGGACCAGACCCTCACCCAGCCCCCTACTTTGGCAGCCATGCTAGGCTACAGAAAAGTCCCAGCAAGATGTAGGCCTCTGACTCAGCAAAATGTGCTGAGCTTCCTGACCTTGCCCTTCCTCCCAGTCACTAGGAGGTCAGATACCCTCCATGTGGCAAGGAACCAATCAGAAGTTAGCTGGTGGACTCTGGGTGTGCTTTATAGTAATAATGGCATGACAATGGTGTACACAGCATAGTAACCACCCTGGGAGGGCCTATAGGCCCAGCAACCAGTTGACCAATCAACACAGGACAGGTTGCCTTTAATCCCAGTACTCTGCAGGCAGAGGCAGGCAGATCTCTGTGAGTTTGAGGCCAGTCTGGTCTACAGAGCAAGTTTCAGGACAGGCTCCAAAGCAATACAGAGAAACCCTGTCTCAAAAAACAAACAACAAGTGTTACATCTGTGTTACATACAGAATAATTGTTTATGTAAAGATATATTGCATTGTTAATTATGTAAAGGTATGTTTCTTGTGTTTATGCTACATTTGTTTAGCTATGTAAAGATGTGCTGCTGTTTTACTTTGCCTACCTGATTTAATAAAAAGCTGAATGGCCAATAGCTAGGCAGAGAAGTGATAGGTGGGGCTGGTAGGTAGAGAGAAAAAGGGGGCTGGAGGCCAGTCGGCCAGATGGGTAAGCATGAAAGCTGGATGGACAGTAGTAGATGAGCAGTAAATGAGCCTCAGGGCTGCACATAGATGAATAGAAATGATTAAGTTAAAGATAAATAAATAAAAGCTGGGCTTGAATAGAAGTTTTCCTGTGAAGCAACCCATGGGGGGGGAGGGAGGGGGAGGGGAGGAGGAAGCTACCCCGAAACAAGCCTTAGCTAAGGACCAGCATTCCTAACTAGTAAGTCTCCGGGTCATGATTTAGGGGTTGGTGGTACAAGAAAGCCTGCTACAAGTCCTGCCATCAGCAGAGATGTGTTGTCCTTGGGAAGATCCTCCCCAAATCCCCTCATCTTTGTTGGTCTCTAGGGTGAAGGGCTAGGGGCCGTAGCTGTAGTTGGTGGTAATGGACGAGGAGCTGCACACAGACGACCAGCAAGGTCAGGTCTTTTCAACTTTTATTTCTTTGAGTAGGGATGGCAGGCCAGTACAGAGGGGACTGAGCTGCGGGTTCTGGTCCTGCAGGGTCCACGCGGGGCTTCCTTGGGTGTGGGCCCCGTGCAGGGTGCCAGGACACTGGTTTGCAGGTCCCAAGTCCTGTCAGAACCTTCCCAGGTGACTGGGCGTGCCAGCGTCGTGGGCTCAGCCTACCGGTTTGACCTTGGCGATGAAGAGGGCTGCAGCCTTCTCCAGGAACTCTTCGCGGGCCATGGGGGCGCTGGGCCGCCGTCCAGTCGCTGCCCGGTCCAGGGCACGTGCCAGGCTGTCGGGGCCCAAGCGGGAACCGGCCTCTAGGTAGTGTGTGGGAGCCGCCGCCAGGTCTCCGGTGCCTAGCGCACCCTCGAGCGTGTCCAGCACAGCCTGGCCCACGCGCCGATCAGCTACCGCCAGGCCTGGGTCCTCCAGCAGCTGGAAGAGGGCACCGGCCCGTGCCACGAACTCCAGCAGCACGAAACACGACAGCATGCCTGCCCGGAAGATGCCCAGCGGCACAGCCTCGTGGTCCCGGCACTGGATCTTGCGTAGAAGTGGCGCCACCACCTCCTCCGGTGCCCCGCCATCCCTGCACACGCGCTTCAGCAGCTCACTGTATGTGCGCCCATCCAGCCCCGGCTTTTTCTTGCGGCCACTGGCGCTCAGACACTCATAGGCCACACTCACATTGTTGTTGAAGGCAGTCCTGCAGGGATAGCAGGGTGTCAGGGCTCCGCAGCCTGGCCGGCCACCGGGGCCTTTCCAGACCTCCCCAGCAATCCAGCTCATTTGTCTGCCCTCCCTCCCGAGCATAAAGGAACCCCAGATGTTTGCTTTCTTAAAGTGTATTTAAGGGGCTGCTGAGATTGTTTGGTAGATAGGCCTACACTTGCAGAAGACCTAGGCTCATTCCCAGCACCACATGGCGGCTCACAACCATCTGTAACTCAAGTTGCAGAGAATCTGATGCCCTCTTCTGGCCTCCCAAGCACCAGGCACACATGCAGGTAAAACACCTATACATAAACAATTAAATTTAAAAGTTCATTTAAGATGAAAGTGGTAGAGCAATCTTTGAATCCCAGCACTCAGGAGGCAGAGGCAGGAGGCTCTCTGTGAGTTTTGAGGCTATCTGATCTATAGAGTGAGACCTTGTCACAAAACCAATTAATTGCTGGGCGGTGGTGACACACACCTTTAGTCCCAGCATTCGGAAGGCAGGGGCAGGCGGATCTCTGCGAGTTCGAGACCAACCTGGTCTACAAGAGCTAGTTCCAGTACAGCCTCCAAAGCTACAGAGAAACCTCGTCTCAAAAAAAAAAAAAAAAAAAAAAAAAAAAAAAAAAAGAAACAAACAAACAAAAAAACCAAACAACAGCTAAACCAATTAATTATTAGTGCATATGAATGTATGTGTACCTGTGGTGTATGTGTAGGTGGCCAGAGGATGACCCTTTAAGAGTTGGGTCCCTTCTGTCTTCGCATGGTTTCCAGCAACTGAATGGATTCAGGTAGTGAGAATTCAGCAAGCACCTTTACTGGACAAGCTTTTGGGGGTTTCTGTTTGAGAAGGGTCTCATATAGCCCAGACTGATTTTGAATTCCTGATCCTCCACTTCTTGAGTGCACTATGTCCAGTTTATGCAGTGCTGGAACCAGTGGTTCAGGCATGCTAAGTGAGAGTTCTGCCAACTGAGTCCCACCCCAGCACATAGTATGCACTAGTAAGTGCCCACTCAACCAAGCAGCAGACTTGTTGGGGCATCTAAGGGATCATTCACTGCTCCCCCAGGGAACAGCCGGGGAGGGGCATCAGGGGCAAGGACAATCCTCATTACTATCACCTACACACCTAAGCCTTCCTGTGATGTCCTCATGCAGCCATCCTGTGACAAGCAAGCTGTTTGTTGTGAAGCAGTGTCTCTCAGTAGCTGAAGCTTGAGCCTTAAACCCATGATCTCTGTGCCTCAGCTCCATGGCTGGTTGTAAATGAAGTTTTATTGAGGCACAAAGTGGCCAGTTCTGACATGGATCTCTCAACTAAGAGCTAGTGAGCACAGAAAGTGTGTGCTGTGTCAGGTAGCTCTTTCCCTCACCCCAGGGTGGGGACCCTCCTAGTGGACCACAGTGGTGACCACAAGCGCAGCTTTGTGGGAAATCCAGGCTCTGAGTAGGCTGATAGTCTGACTGTAGAACCCAAAGAGTAACTGACAGTGGACCTTACTCTGGTCGTTGTGTGGCTCAGATTCACAATGAGGGTGGTCTGTTTCACCCTGACCTCCTGGGGCTTCCTAGGATGCCTCACCCTCTAGAGACCTTGGTGTAGTAAGAACTTAATAAATCTTAGCCAGCTGCAGCAGATGCCCAGAGAATGGACTGTGTGTCTTTTGTGAAGGTCTGTCAGCAGGGCCCCAGCTGTGTTAAGAGCCACGGAGACGCTGGGGCTATTTGTTATAGCAGCACAACATAGCTCTTCCTGACTGATACACAACCACCAGAACTCTTGTCCTGTTTCTACCTTCTCTGGCAGTGACCTCCAAGGGTACAAGGCCTAGGCCCTTGCTTGGTTCCTGGACCAGATCCAGACCTGCCTCTGAGTAATTGGCTTTCTGACAATGCTGCCTCTGTGAGCTTTGCTCTGCTTACCCAAGGAATGCAAACCGGAATTCTGCAACTCCAGATTCTTGGGAGGATGGACAACATGATCTTCTGCTCACATGGGAGGAGGGCCCCACCCACCTTGCCAAGCCCTTGGCTGTTTACAGGTACTTATGGCCTGGTACAAGGACACCCACCTCTCAGGTGGCTCACATCAGCTCCTGGGGATCACAGGATGAGTCAGACAGGTGAGGGGGCAGAGACACGGTGGTGAGCTCCAGCCTTGGTAGAGCATGGGCTATGGATCTGCTTTGCACAGACAGCTCTGTGCTCAGCACTGTGTGCAGGTAGTGGGAGCCCCTTCCTCCTCCTCCCTGGGGCACGGCTGGATGGGGGGGCACATGCCCCTGTTTCAGCTCTCTATACTCAGAGAGCTCCTAGTATGGAGGGGTGTAGGCAGGGATGCTCTTCAGCACCTTGCAGGATCTGGGGTGCCTCAGGGAGAACGGCTGTGGCTGAGGGGAGGCTTTCACTGGATCATCCTTCAATGTGACCAGCTAGTGCTTCAGTGATTTTTAAATCATTAAGTTATATTTGATCAAAAGAGCCCTAATAGAGTCACAAAATGACCCCCTAACAGCTTAGGGACAATATAGCCAGTGTACCTTCCCTGCCACCATTAGCAGCATGGTAGCCAGGAAGGTTTGCAGGGGTTTCATCTCATGGGTCTGACTCCTTCCTGGTTTGGCCCCTGGTAGCCAAGGCTTCAGTCATATTCTGGGGTGAACAGTGATTTTAAGTAGCTCTCATGGGTTGGCAGGGAGATGATACATGGGGACACCAGGGCCATGGCCTATAGAGGCTTGAGAGAGACTTGAGACGTGCAGCCCCTTAACTCTAGGGAAGTGGCTCTGCTGACAATTTGTTAGTGGCAGTGTTTCTATGTGTGGTGGCTCATGCTGAGCACTGCACAAGGACCTGCTCTCTACATAGACACAAATCATGGGTTCTGAAGTGGAGAGCAGTGACTGGGGCTTCCCTGGGGGAGGAAGAGAAGCCTAGTTCTGTGACATCAGATGGACACATTGGTGGTTTCACCCTTGGGTGCATTTCTGGGGACTTGATTGGCTTGCTGTTCTGAGCTGCCAAAGGTTAGTGGTATAACACTGGGTTCTGGGGTGAGCAGTTGTTGTAGAATATTAGTTTAACATGTGTTACATTTGTTTATGCTGTGGAATTCTTTTATGTTGCATTTGCTTAACTTTGTGAAGCTGTGTTACTTTGTCTGCTTAAAACACCTGATGGTCTAATAAAGAAGTAAGTGGTCAATAGCTAGGCAGGAGAAAGGATAGGTGGGGGTGGCATGCAGAGAGACTAAATGGGAGAAGAAGAAAAAAAAGATCTAGGAACAAGAGAAGGATTGATAAAAGAAGGGGCTAGATACTCAGCTAGCCACAGAGTAAGAGTGAAAGTAAGATTACAGAAGTAAGAGAAGGAAAAGGCCCAGAGGCAAAAGCTAGATGGGATAATTTAAGAAAAGCTGGCAAGAAACAAGCCAAGCTAAGATCAGGCATTCATAATTAAGAATAACCCTCCAGTGTGTGATATATTTGGAGGTGAGTGGCAGGCCCCCAGACAGCCAAGGAGTAAAACAATCAACAACAAGCAGTGACCCCAAGTTCATGTCCACACACAGCTCAGAATGGGCTAAACACCATTTTCATGGTTTCATCTGGATAAGATGAGGCCATGTCAGAGGAGGGCAGGTATGGACCCAGGGGCTGGCAGGATTAGGATACTGGCACAGAGGCTATGCACGTGGTGAAGGACACAGAGACCTGATGACATGGTCACAACCCTTGCCCCAGATAATCAGACGAGGCTGTGACTTCAACTCAGACAATGTGTCTATGTTAAATCACAAGCTGACTGCTTTTCATCTATGTGAGACTCTCTTGCAGACAGATGCCCCAGGAAGCCATTTATTCCTGTTTATTCTCTCCCTCCCTCCCTGGGGCACCTCAGTGTGCAGACCTGTGTGCTTCCTCCTCTGCTGATATGTTGTGGAATATTACTTTAACTATGTAAAACTGTGGTACATTTGTTTCTGTTGTGGAATATTTAGCATGCAAAGATGTGTTACATTTGTTTATGTTGTATTTAATGATGTAAAATGTGTTGTTTTGCCTACCTGATTGGTCTAATAAAGCTGAATGGCCAATAGCTAGGCAACAGAGAGACAGGTGAGGCTGGCAGGATGAGAGAATAAGTAGGAGGAGAAATCTAGGAAAAAAGAGCGAGAGAATTAAGGAGAAAAAGAGGGAGATGCCAGGGGCAGCCACCAGCCAGAAACAGGAAATAGGAAAGTAAGATGTACAGAGTGGGAGAAAGGTAAAAAGTTCCAAAGAGAAACAGGGTAAGTTATAAGAGCTACCAAGAAGCTAAAGTCAAGCGTTCATAACATAAGTCTGTGTCATGATTTGGGAGCTGGTTGGTGGCCCAAAAGAAAGTCTACCACACTGATAGCTTCACCCTCTGCTCACATCCCCACTGCAGTCTCAGCTGTAGACTGTCCACCTTCTTGCTTGGATTCCTCATCAAGTGACTAGCAACTTTACACAACCACTGGTCTCTCAGCCTTTATGACTGTGTCCCACCGACCGTATGTTTGTAACCCCCCTCTCCTGCCACATCAGCCCATCCTCCCCTTCCTGGCCATCATCTGGGGACACTGAGTGCTCTCCCCCTAGTGTAGAGATGTCTGCTCTGCTCAGACCCACCCCTACTCTGTTCTACTCTTCCAGCTTCTTTGGGACTCGGGGACGGAACCAGCAGGAATGTACGATGCCTGGACTTTTGACTCCCCTGGGCAAAACCGGGGTCACTGCTGCCTAACATCTTCTGAGTCTTTCTCCATGCACCCTTTGTAAAGCCACTTCCATGCTGAGACCCCAGACACCAGTTCACTCACTTTGTCATCTGCTGGTTAATGACCCCTACTGATCAGCTTCCTCTATCCACTGTGCAATGGGAAAGTGTCCCTCAGTCATCTTCTACACTGGGAATTTTTCCCACTGGGGCACAGAAGCGATTGCAACTGCTGAGCTCCAGGCCTCCCAGCAGGTTCACACCTGGCTCTAGACCAGCCTATGCCCTGCAGGTGCCCCCCTCAGGATTGCACTGCAGGGTGGCGCTTCAGTACACAGGCTGCCCATCTCCTGGACAAGCACCGCAGCTATTTATGCTCTGACTGCAGGGGTGGCGTCTTGGGCCAGGTCGTCGCTGCGCTTCTTGACCTCCAAATCCCTGGGCTGCGAGGAGAAACAGGGCAGGGCTCAAAAGTAAAACCCCTTAGGCCATAATCATCAGGAAGCTCCAGCAATATATGGACTACAACTCCCAACACTACCTACTAGGACCATAATCCCCAGTACACCCCGTGCATAAAGCTGCCAGAATCTACGCGAAGCATGCCGGGAGCTGTAATTCGGATGTCACACCGCTCTTAGCGGACCAGGCCCCGGAAAAGAGGACAGACTACTACTCCCGGATATGCCCCGCGCTGGCGGCAAGTTGAGCCCGCGCGGGGCCTGTCGGGAGCTGTAGTCCGGGCACCCCGCCCGCCATCGGTCCGCACCTCTGCGAGTGGTGAGCCAGGCGAAGGTGCCACAGTGCGCGGCCCAGGCGCTGCTGCTGCAGGAGGAGCTGGCCTGGGGGCTCCCCAGCGCCGCCGTTGGCTGGCGAGCGCAGGCCCATGTTCTCGAAGTAGTGCGCCAAGAAGGCGATGGGCTCTTCGGGCCGTGTCTCCAGCACTTTCAGTAGGGCCGCGCGCAGCATCTCCGTCACGCCGACCTGCCGTAGGAAGTCCTCCTCGCTCTCGGCTGCCGCTGCCGCCTGGGACACCGATGTCCGGCTGCTGTCCGCGAAAGTGGCCGCTGGTGCTACTGTCAGCCGCCGCTTCTCCACTGCCGCCATCTTTGCTGAGGGCAGCGGGACCGGAAGCACTGCCATAATTCACGGCGCGACAAGGCACTTTCCTTGGACGGCCATTTTTGTTAAGGGTAGAGGCGGCCGCGTCCTCTCTGAGTCTTGTCAGTGACAGGCACAGGCTACCTTTCCCTCTGTGCCCTAAGTGGCATTCTCTGTTTTCATCTCTTCTGGTACTCCGTGACTGGATATCTTAGCTTCGGTCCGGAATCGTGAGCTTGCCAGACCAGGAAGGGCTTGATTTCTGGTTCGAAGCGCTATCGCTCGCCATCTTGGTCGTGGGCAATTCTTCATAACCATGGTCTCCTAGCAACGAGGCTCCTTGGGTACCAGAGAAATCCTTGCCTGCCAAACCTGTGTAAGGCTTCGTCCACTGGGAATCTAGGACTGAGGGCGGGGTTCAGACCCTTTTCTGCGTTTAGTCTCAGACGTTGTACTCGGCTTGAACTCTGCCGGGATTTTGGCTTCACACTATGTCTCCTGAAAGGTTTAGCTCTCCTTGAGCAAGCCTTCACCAGATTCCCTTTCCTTCTCAAGGCTGTTAGTTACTCTTCCTGTCCACCAGGGGGTTTGTCCTTGCTGTATCTCTAGTACCTTCGCGAGTCCCTCTTCTGTTAACTCCATCCCCTTGCCCCCCCTTATGCCCCATTTTCGTGTTTGCCCAGGCTACTCTCCCACCTCGAGTACTTTTTTCGCAGGCCATTGGGTCTGCTAGGGCCTACCAAAATGGACTGGGATATATATGCCAGTCTCCAGGGACCCCGGGTGTAAGTCTGAGAAATGCACAGAGCTTCTCTGTTTTCACAGTACGACAGGACACAGCAATGACCAGATAATGGGATCTTTATTCTGCTCTGGGCCAGCAGCTGGAAGGAGCTTTTAGAAGTGCCGCCCATCAAGAAAAGGGGCCATACTCTTATCATCGTGACTGCCCTAAACCCAGCAGCTGGTCATTCTCCGATCCCCATAGTCTGGCACAATCGAGCTTCATAGGCGTGTGCATGAGGTGGTGTCTGGGGGAGGACTTGATCGGTAGCGTTTCCACAGGCGGTAGGCAAGGAAAGCCAGCATGAGCAATGCCAACGCCAAGCTGCCAATCCAGAGGGTGATGATGGAGGCTGAGAGAGTAGAAAGGCTGTCATGAGACCCTGTGCCTGCAGGCTCCATTGAGGGAACTGTACATAGGCCCATATTGTTTAAAAGTGGACTACCATCTTATTAATGTGTTTTAAAATCCAACCATTAAAACAGGTGTCGTGGTGCACATCTGTTATCCCAGCACTTATGGGGCTGAGGCAAGAGGATCAGGGTCACTTTCAGCTACAAAGCAAGTTTGAGGCCAGCCTCAGCCATCTGAAACCAACATTAAATAACTTTTTTTTAACCATTTATTTCACAGGATCTGCAAGGTGCTTTGAAGGCTAAGTGAACTCACAAGGAAACAGAGTCTAGGCATGGCACAAAAACCCAACTAGTGTTTTGTTGTTGTTTGATCTTTTTGTTTGTTTTTGAGGCAGGGTTTTTCCTCTGTGTAGCCCTGGCTGTCCTAGAACTAGCTCTGTAGCCCAGGCTGGCCTTGAACTCATAGAGATCTGCCTGCATCTGCCTCTGGAGTGTTGGGATTAAAGGTGTGGGCCACCACCATCCAGCCCCAACTGGTCCCAACTAGTGTTTTAATCCCATACTTCCATCCCTCCCCAGGTCCCCAGCACTTACAAGGTTTTGAGAACACCTGGCCAGAGACATACAGACTGGCTACCTGGCCCCCAGGATCCAGCCGGCACTGGAACCAGCCCTCAGGAATGGGACCTGAGGGTGGTATGCTTAGCCATGCCTGGGCCCCGACCTCCTTCTTGTGGTACTCTGCCAGGTCTCCAGGAGCCAGCGTCCAGTGCACCGTAACTCCAGGGCCACAGGGTGCCTTGCAGAGTAGTTGCCAGCCAGCTGACTCCTGGTCCTGATGGATCTGAGGATGGCAAGTTCCAGCGTAGCTCAGAGTCCTAGAGCTAAGCGTGGAATGAGGAGGGGTAGACAGCAGGGTTGTGTGGTTGGGGAGTTCAGTGGAGCTGGCCTCAGTAGTGTATGGTGAGGTCAGAATGTAGGGCTTGGTAGAGGTGGTGGTGGTGGGCTCTGGTGAGGTCCGGCTCTGTAGGACTGCAAACAGAAGGTTCTTCCTGTAGCCCTGGGCCCCTCTCCTGCCTCAATTTTTTCATCTGCATCCCAGTATTGGGACAGAATCTACCCCCCTCCCATCTTCCCACCCTTATCACTGAAGGGGCATGGGACATCATAGTAGAGTAGCTGGGGTCAGGAGATGCTGACACAGGCAGAGAATTTATTGGGTATCGGGTCCTATGTAAGTCTACTAGGCTGCTGCTTGCTTATTTATTTATTTATTTATTTATTCCTTTGAGACAGGGTTTCTCTGTGTAGCCTTAGCTGTCTTGGAACTCATTCTGTAGACCAGGCTCACCTCAAACTCAGAGATCCACTTGCTTCTCTCCTCCTAGTGCTGGGATTAAAGGCTAGACCACTGTTTATAAAGCACCTATTGGGCACAGGTTCCTATGAGTCTACTTGACCAGTGTTTATAAGGCACCTATAGTGTGCCAAATTCTATTAATCTGCTCAGCCAACATTTGTAGAATACCTACTGAGTGCTGGGACCTGCCTTGAGTCTACTTGACAGTGTTTATAAAATACCTACTGAGTGCTGGCTCCATCCTTGTCTTTCAGCATAGAATGGCCTTGGCAAAGCCAAGAATTGGGGAATGGAAAATGATGGAGATATCATTTTGGAGCTGGCACAGAGTAGGCCCTCATCTTTCGAATTTGTCTTTTCTCTGGCTGCCTCATGGGGCTGGTACCCTGACCAGTTCTTGTGGGTGTTCATAAAGATGGCTGCATTCCATCTTGGCACAAGGACAGAGTTCAAAGCTGTCAGCAAATCACAAAACCTAAAGGTCAAAGGTGTGGCTACAGAGGGATGTTTCAGCTGTCTTAGTCTAAATAACAACAGACCTGAATCTGAGGTGTGGCTACTCCTGACCTCAAGGCTAGGGAACAAGAAGTTGAATCTAAGGTGTGGTTACTGAACCCTTAGAATAAATGAGGAAGAAAAGTCTGTTTGTTCCATATACATGATACTGTGTTCCCCTTTTGGTTAAGGTATATAAGAGTAGTGAAGAATAAACTTGTGGCATTTCAGTATTGAGTGACCTGCCCTCCTGACCTTTATTCTGTCTCTCTGTCTTTCTTTATTGTCTATATCTAGCCTTTCCCTCATCCACACTCCCCCACTCAGGTACAGACGTGGGGCCTCTCAGCTGGCTCCAATTGCAGCCCCACCAAGGCTGCTTCCAACAAATTCTGTTGGGAATATCCAGGTGTGGACAAGCAATCCTGGTTCAAGCTCCAGAGCAGCTGAGCCTAGAGACAGGTGGGACACAGAGGACTTACCCGGAAGCTCCCTTCTGTGGGTCAGCACCACATTGGGTAGCTGCATGGTGGCCTGGCAGTAGAGGGCAGAAGGGGCAGGGGTCTCCAGGGCGGGTAACAGCCAGCGCTGTGTCACTCGGAACAGAGTCGTGACCTCGGCCTCCTGGGTCTCCTCCTCCTCTTGCTCTGGTTCCAGGGCCTCAGCACCCTCTAGACTCTGGTTTCTCAGTAACAGGGCAAAGGAGAGACTGTCCGGGCCTGCAGGCCAGATGTTGTGGGCTGTGCAGGACACTTCTCGGTCCTGTCCGGGTACAAGGGACTTTGGGGACACCACCAGCTGGTCTGGGAAGGCTGTGGATGAAAGGTAGGGCTCAGGGCTGAGTTTGAAGATCAGCGCTGGGCCAGGCAGAGGAGGTAGGTTTGGGGAGATGGTACCTTAGGTACCCGGGACAGGACAGGAAAGGTGGATATGTTAGCCTGCAGGTCTGGGGTGATGCTGTTAGTGTGGTATAAGGTTCTGATACCCCTGGGTAGGTAGCACCTAGAAGGGCAGGGTGGGCCTCACCATACACAAGGATCTGCACGGAGTGCTGGGAGCTTTGGCCCCCACAGGAGCCCACACACATACGCATGCCCGTGTCTGTCAGCATGCCTTGTATAGAGAGGATGCTGCTGCCAGGGAGGGTCTGCACATTGGCCAAGTCAGTGTCCAGGCCAAGCCACTGCACCCTGGCTACGCTCTTGTTACAGGGCAAGCTGCAGGTGAGCTGGAGCGATGTGCCATTGGCCACAGCCACCACAGGCTCAGGGGGATCCACATGGAGGAACTGGCCTGGGGGAAATAGCATTAAATCCACATTGGGGTGACTGGGTCTCAGATTCCAGACCTGACTCTAGGTTGAGACCCCAGGGCTCTAGACCTCTGCCCCAGGTGCCTGACCTTGATCAGAGCAGCTAGAACCCCCACTTCCCCGACCAGCTTCTAAAGCTCCAGGCTTTCACAGTACTCCCAAAGCCCCTTCCCTTATACCCACTCATCTGTCAAAGCCCCCTCCACTCCCCACATCCCTGCTCACCACTGCCAAGCTGGAAGGGTACCATGGCCATGGCCAGCAGGAGGGCCGGGCTGAACTTCATGCTGTCCCCTCTGTCTTGCGACTGCCAGGGGAAGCGGTTTAAATAGCAGCAGGCTGGCGACTTCCCGCTGTCTTGAGACCCTGCCTCTCCTTCCCCTCCTCCCAACTCCGTGGGAGTTTCCCTGGGGGCTTTCCCAGCCCGACCCCCACTCCACAAGAGGCAGAGACCTGGGAACACAGTTGGAACAGACAGGCAGGGAAGGTTTGGGAAGGTTCCAGGCCCCAGTTCTATGGACGGGAAGGCTGAGGCTAGAGGCTGGGGTCACCATGGTGGGTCAAGTGCATGGAAACCAGCCAGTCCTAGGCTGCTCCGCCCCGGCTGACTTGAGCCCTGCCTTCATTCCCACAGGTGGCCACATGGGGGTGGCATAGGGGCCTGGTCCGGTTCAGGATGGAGGGAGTCCCTTGTGGCCATGTGCATGAGGTGGGAGTGGTGGGGGGTTGGGGGTTTCTCCTGGGACTGAATGTCAGTGTCTGGGACAAGTCACCAGTTGCCCCCTGAATTTGTGCCCTTTCATTGCATAAGACTTTGCAGGCCTGACAGAGACTGGAGTCTGGGGCTGGCTTGCTTTTGATCCTGGGCCTCACTGCTGAGTTCTGAGAATCTCTCACCACTTCCTTAAGTTCTCTCCCATTTTCCTCCAAGATACTTTTCCTCATGGCCCAGACCCTTCTTGAGGAACATTCTTCCCTATATCAACACCCAGAGAAGGAAGGTTAGAGTCATATGTCCTTCCTGCCTCCAGCAGCCACAGGACCTTTGCACTGCTGCCCTGTCCTCTCCAGTCTCCGTGACATGCCCCTGCCTTCCTAAGGTCCCTGTGGAGGTCAAGTCTGCAGATGCTTGAAGTTTGTCTCCATCAACATGGACTTGCCTAGGGGTTTGGTGACGATATAAGCAGAGTCATTTGGGAAGAGAGAGAGAACTTCAGTTGAAAAAACTACCCCCACCAGATTGGTGAGGAGGCAAGCCTTTGGGGTATTTTTTGATTTTGTTTTGCTTTTTGAGGCAGGGTTTCTCGGTGTCCTGGAACTTGCTCTGTAGACCAGGCTGTTCTTGAACTCCTAGGGATCTGCCTGCCTCTGGCTCCCAAGTGCTGGGATGAAAGGTGTATGTCATCACCTCCCAGCTGGGTGGTGGAGATGTATTTTTGATTAATGATTGATGTGGGAGGGCACAGCCCATTGTGGATGGTGCCATCTGTGGGCTGGTGGTCCTGGGTTTTATAAGAAGGCAGGCTGAGCAAGCCATGGGGAGCAAGAGATTAAGCAGCACCCTTCACGGCCTCTGCATCAGCCCCTGCCTCCAGGGTCCTGCCTTGGCTTCCCTTCCTGAAGGATAATGATCTGAAAGTGTAAGCTGAAATAAACACTTTTCCCCAATTTGCTTTTGGTCATGGTATTTTATCACAGCAACAGAAACCTTGACCATACAGGGTGAGACCTTGTCTGCTCCTGCCATGATCATCCTACTCAGCATGCAGACTGTCAGTCAGGCTCTTAGAAGTAGACACGGAGGCACCAGTGGCAGGGGGTATGACAGGTGGAGGCTAGTATCACAATGGGGAAACTGAGGCCCAGAAAGTACTGGACACGAGGCTCAGGTGTGTGGACTCTGAACTGTGGTTGCCTAGGTCCCATCCCCCTTCCCTTTGCCCAGCATGCACCAGGGCCCGGAAGCTGTGCAGGAAGGTGACTCCAAGGCACAGGCCCTTCCCGGGAAGCTGGGCCCTTAACCCGGGTGGGGGGCAGCGGGCCTGGTGAATGGGCTACTTCCCAGCCCCTGACCTGGTTTCCTGTTATACCAAGGCCAGGTGGGGAGGGGTCAGCAGGCGCCAGGCACTGTGGGTTGCAGGCGTGGTCCCTGCTTTCCTTGAAGATCTCAAGGGACACTTCTCAGCCCTGACTCCAACTGCAAGACAGTGAGCATTCTGCTCCTGGTGGGAAAGAGAGAGTAGGGCCAGGGCCACAGTGTAGAGGGGACAAGCTGTGGGGAGGCCAGAGAGGGAAGAAGGAGAGGGGACACTAAGGGAAACAGGGGGATAGAGAGGAGAGAGGACCAAGACATGACCCAGAGAGACAAAGGGCAGAGAAGGAGATACAGATAGAGACACAGATGACAGACAGGGTCAGAGACATGACACAAGACAGAATGACAGAGACAGAAAGACACAAAGACAAAAGCAGGGTCAGAGATACAGGCGGGAACAGGGAGGGCACAGGGGACTGGAGTGCTGGTGGCCCAGGGGCTGGCTGTCCCCAGCAGGGCCAAGGGTTAGCAGGACTCTGTTGTGCTCTCCGTGGCACTTGGGGCACCTCCTGTCCTCACTCCGACTCCCCCCTTCCCGCCATTGTCCTATAAGAAGGAAGTCCTTCTCAGGAGACATCCTGGCTCCCCTGCCTACAGCACGAGGAAAGTTCCAGAAGGTAGCTTTGCTCTGATAGTGGCCCTTCCACTCACTCACTCTCGTCAATTTTGCATGCTCACTGTTCCTGGCTCCTTCAGAGTGTGGGTCCCAGAGGACCCTGGGGTGGTCTGACCCTGTGGAGCTTAAAAAGGTGGGTGCCAGCTGGAGGTTGGACTTTGAGGGGACAGTGTGGGGGGCTGGAGAGATGGCTCAGTGGTTAAGAGCACTGGCCACTCTTCAAAGGACCTGAATCACAAGCACACAGATCAGGTAGCTCTGAAAATCCAGTTCCAGGGCGATCCAAAGTTCTCTTCTAGCCTCTGAGGTCACTTGAACTTACACACATCCCTCTACCCCCCATACACATAGGCACAGGGCTGGCAGGGCAGTGGTGGCTCATGCCTTTAATCCCAGCATTCTGAAGGCAGATCTCTGAGTTTGAAGCCAGCCTGGTTGACAGGTGAGTTTCAGGGCTAAGTAGACAGGCCCTAAGTACAAAAACAAAATTGAAGAAGTATTAAACAGACAAAAAACCCACAAAAAGCTGGCGTTGGTGGCACATGCCTTTAATCCCAGGACTCGGGAAGCAGAGGCAGGTGGATCTCTGTGAGTTCAAGTCCAGCCTGGTCTACAGAGTGAGTTCCAGGACAGGCTCCAAAGCCATAGAAAAACCCTGTCTTGAAAAACCAAAACAAACAAAACCACCACAAAATTAAATATTAAACAGACAAAACAAACAAACAAACCAAAACCAACAAACTAAGATAGGGGCTAGACTCAATAGTCTGTAACTCTAAAGTCTCAAAGGATCTGGCGCCCTCTTCTGGCCTCCATGGCCCTGCATGCATGTGGTGTACAAACACAAATTCTGGCAAAATACCCACACATAAAAGAATTAAATAAGGGGCTGGGTGGGTGAATCTCTGTGAGTTCAAGGCCAGCCTGGTGTACAGATCTAGTTCCAGGACAGAGAAACCCTATCTGAAAAAAACCAACACCAAACCAAACCAAAAAAAAAAAAAAAAAAAAAAAAAAAAAAGGATTATCAAAAATACAAATAAAAGAATAAAATAATTTAAAAGAACTTTAAAAACAAACACATCCTATTACACTGTGGAGACACAACCTCTGTACAGACCATCTATGGTAGGGCTAGACCTGGTTACCCACTGTCCATAGTGGGACACCTGACTCCAATCCACATAGCCCCTGTGTTCCTGAAATCTCCTGTTTGAGCTGTGCTGGTCCTGGAGAGAGGCCCTGAGGGGAGGGCCAGGACCCAAAGCCACAAGCACAAGCAATGGCTAGCACACAGGTTTTCTCTGCCTGTCTTCATCATTTGCAGAAGAGATGGTGTGGGGGTGTAGGAGGTGGGAGGCAGCTTCTGACACACCTTCAGTAAAGGCCCTGGCTGGACCAGGACTTTTGGAACCTCAGAGCTCATATGGTTGGACATAGGAACAAGAAGGGTTACCAGGATCTGGGAGCACAAAGCCAGGACTATGTCATTTAGCCCTGACACTAACCCTAACCTTCTATCCCAACCCCAACTCTATCCTCATCTCAACCCCAAACCCACCCTAATTCCACTCCAACCTAAACTTTACAAAGTCTGGATTCCAGCCCCACCTATAACAACAGTTCCTGGCTGCCAGCTCCTCTGAGCCTTCCCCTCCACACCCTGCCCACCAGCACTAGCCTTTCCCCCAGCCTTTGACCCAAGGCCAACCTTATGGCCTCTATGCCCCACCCATCAGAGAGAAGCCCTCCCCATCCACTAGGACACACCTATGGACTCAGCAACACTCCCTTCCACCTCTCCATGCTTGGCCCCACCCATGCAAATTTAGCCTTTCCCTGTGGTCTCAGCCAAGTCCATAGTTCTCTGGAGTCCTGTGCTACCACCGTGACTGAACTCCAATTCCTCCCATCATGCTGCGGGCTCAGTATATGGCCCACAAAAATATGGAATCTGGGCACCTGAATACTCAATCTTCAGCACTCTCAACTGAGGATGCATGGGCTGCAGGGGTTTGGAGCTGAGGGAACTGTGATTCTCACTTCTTTGTCAGTCACAAGTCTCACTGGGGGCTTTGGTCAGTGCCAGGGTGCAGGCATTAGAGACCAAGGGTACACTCATGGCCTCTCTGTGCCAGGGATGTGTGTTACTGTTGGCTTGGACCATATTGCTAGGTTGGGATAATGTTGCTAGGGGCTGAGACCATGTTGCTAGGCTGGGATCCTGTTGCTAGGGTCTGGGACTGTGTTGCCAAGGACAGAGACTTGTTGCTAAGCCTGAAGTCCATTTGCTAGGGGCTGGCTGAATGTTGATAGGTCCGGGGTCCTGTTTCTAGGGAGATGGGTTCAATTTCCTTATGTCTGGGTTCTGTTACCAAAGTTACCATTCTATTACTAGGGGGCTGAGATTATGACGATGAGGTTGCTAAGCAGCAGTCCTTGTTGTCAGAACAGAGTCAAGTGCTTCACTTCCTTACCTGGGGTGAAGATGCTGGGAAAAATATGATATTTTATTTATTTAATTTTCATAACCCAGGCTGGTCAAGAACTCATTATGTAGCTCAGGCTGTTCTCAAACTCAGTTCTGTCTCAGCCTCCTGACTCCTTGGGTACACGTGTACACCAAGGCATGCAGTTGCAATGTTTTGTTTAAAATTTGCAGGATGTGTCTGGAAACACACATGATGGTACACCAGGGTCCTGCTTGATATGAAGATTTTTGGCAGAGCCCTGAGATCCTGGAGTGTGAGATCAGTTACTAGGAT